TGCAATTTGCTGCACAAGGCGGGCCGATGTGTGTGTGTACGTCCCTTTTGCTGTGTGTGTACGTTCCTTTTGCCCCACCGACACACGGTTCTCATGACAGGCGTTGCTTATCTTTAGAGGTGGCACCACGACGCCTTCAGCCGCACGATGCCACGCGATGAGCCGCACAATCACGCCTGGGCTCCTCTGCACGTGACTGTTGCATGCCAGACAGACGGTCCCATAACACGCGCTGCTACACAGGTAGCACCACGAGCTGCTACACAGGTAGCACCACGACCCCTTCAGCGGCAGCACGCCACGCGATGAACCACACACCATGACGCCTGTTGTTCGTTGTGTGGGGGTGTTTCTGCGTTGTTTGTTCTGTATGTAGTGTTTGTTTGTTGCGCGCCTGATGCAAGGTGTGTTTGTGTGTTGTAGTGTAGTGAGGTGATTGTGTGCGGTGCGGTGTGTGTAAGGATAAAGATGTGCGGGAATAGGTGTAGTGTGTGTGGTGTTTTTCGCTGGAGAGATGGAGAGCGCAAGGCTGCGTTGCGCGTTGCCGCCCTATGTAGGTATAGTATGCGAAAAGAAGGAAGGGCGTGGCGTGTTGGTGTGTTGGTGGGGGTGGTGCATGTAATGTAAAACAGCAGTGCACGTAACAGCAGTGCGTGGCGTGTTGGTGCGGGTAGGGGTGGTGCATGTAAGAAGAGTGCATGTAATGTAAAACAGCAGTGCACCTCACAGCCGTGCACGTCACAGCACAGCTCGCGCCGAGGCGGGAGGAGATTTTCCTCTCTTGTCGGCGGCGGCGGCGGCTCCGCTTCCCCCTCTCCGGCGGCGGTGAGCGTTAAGCCCGTCGTCGTCGTCGTCGTCGTCGTCGTCTTCGAGTGCGCCGCCGCCGTCCACGGAGACGGGGTTGGAATCGTCGCTCTCGCCGCCGTCCTCCCGGCTCCCGCCCGTCGCGCCACCGCTCTGCTTGTGGTCCCAAATAACGTTTCGACGTTGAAAACAAGCGAGAGTAGAGAGTATAAATAACGCGTAGGTGTCGCAGCGAGTGATGGGGAGAGCAGATGAGAGATGAGACACGGTGAGAATGTGGGGAAGGGGGGGGGCGGGGGACCAGACATCAAATCAAGGCAACCCCAGAAAAATCAAATGCCCTTACGAACGCCATAGCTCAAAGTCGAGTACCAACGAACACGCCACAGACCATATGCCCATGCGTGTGGGATCAAAACACAAACATAAGCATTCGACCAAGAGTTGCGGCGAAAGACACAGGACAGACAAGTTTTCAACAATATCCCCTTGAGTCACCGTGCACGCTCGCACCTTCGGGCTGCTGTTGCCGCCGCCGCCGCCGCCGCCACCCTTTGGTTGCTTTGCATTGTCCCCCTCGGTCTCCTTATCCTTTTCCTTGTCCTTATCCTTGTCCTTCTGGCGGGGCTCGGGGATAACATAGGCCGGGTCGTCCTCCTTCGGCAGGTGCTCGATGTCGAGGAGCTTGCCCAGCCAGCCGGGGCTGTGTCCCTCCGGAAAGTAGCCGGCCATCACCTCCCAGAACCTCTCGCAGGTGAGCGACTCCTGGCCGATCCGAGGCGCGCCGGCCTTATCCTAGTGAGCAAAGGCAGACAGGGAGCGAGAGAAAGAAAGAGAGAGAGGGGGGGGGGGGAGCGAGAGAAAAAGAGAAGAGCGAGAGAGGAAGAGGGAGAGAGATAATGAAAGAGAGACAGGGAGAGAGAGAGAGAGCGATTTGAAAAACGAACGCCATACATGTCGACGCTGCTGCGAGTATCACACTCAAGAGAACTGTTTCCAAAAACTCTCACGAGAAGGTCCCGCAGTCATGCCGCGTGTATCGAGAGAACGTCCTCCACGCGGCTACGGCGCACCGAGTCCTGGCCGACCGTAGTCTATCGTGCAACGTCAAACAAGAGATAGGCCGAACCAAGAACACACCTAACAAGAGGCGTGTCCAGATTGGATTCCAACGACGACCACAAGAACGACGGTACAAGATTGACAGGCTTTCGTCACAAAAGAAATCAACAATGGGCTGGACGCTGCTGCATTCTTCTAGACACCTATCCGTGTTACGTATCTATCCATCCCATGCGTGACGAAACTTGCACCCACAACTATGTACACACATACCGTACATCCCTTGAAGACGGGGGGGGGGGGAGGGGGGAGAAAGACCGCGTAAAGGCACAGGGAGAGGAATTCACCAACATACAGCACTCAAAAACACGCCAAGAGGGACCATATTCAGATGAACTTTTCCCGCCAAGAAAAAGAAGAAGAATGCAACCTTGACCCACCCAAAACGTGTGCAGGACCAGGTTGCCGTCGTCGTCTATGTCGGGGTCCGCCTTCCTCCCCATCAGGGCGCCCGGCTTATCCACGCAGTCGGGCTCTGGCTCGCCCTTGCCCTGCGCGCACGCACACAAGCGTTGTTGTTCAGCTACCGATGACGGACGTTTTCGTATCATTGGTTTAGCCGGCTACATAGCGCAGCCGATGCAAGAAAAATCAATGAATGTTGCGTTGTTTTCTTCCTCTCGCTAATATTAGAATACTTTTCGTCGCTCAGCCAGTCGGCATTGTCAATGCAAACTACGACACACCAGAGGACCCAACGCCCACAAGAGCACCACCATTCTGTTTCAGCAGATAGCAAGGGACGGGATGTATCCATACAGACGGCAGCTTCCCGACCACACTGCACAATGCACGATGCAAGTACCCGAAAAGCTTTTGAGCCGTGCGAAACCTTGTGTTCCAAAATGCAACAAAGTACCCGAAACAGCGGTGTGACCTTTGACTCAAGGGTCCTAAGGGCGTCATGATTTCCCTTTTTATTTTTCGTTTTGTCATGCGTACGTGGCTTCCAACATTACTCGTCACTCACCTGCCGCACGGTAAACACTCGAACGATAATCACAAACACCACCCCCGAAACTATAGGGCAACGAGCAGCAGCAATACTTCACCAGCAAGACACGAACGGCAACGACACGACAGCAGCAGCAGCAACAACACATCAACACCACCAACAACTCCAACAACAGCAGCAACGACAACAACATCAACACCAACAGCATCACCGACAAGGACAACGGCAGCAGCACTCACCGCCGCATCTGTTGCGCTGCCGCCCGGGCCAGGCCCGAACTTCCTCCGCCGCTTCCGCCCCTGCTGCACGTGCGGCGACTGCGGCTGCTGGTCCATGCCCACGCAAGCCCCCTCCCCCTCCACGTCGATCAAGCCGCCAGGAGAACCGTCACGGTTTCGCTTCTTGCTGTTCTTGCCCTTGAAAGCCTTTCGTGCGTGTGTAGAGGAATGGGAAGGGTGCAGGGGAGGCGGCAGCGACAAGAGCGAAACGGCTAGTCAGAAAAAAAAAGGAGTATCATGACCTTGCACAGCAGAACTACAACCCATAAAAACAAGATACTTATCGCAAGCTTTAAGAAGGAATGAGCGCATTCGCCACAATACCCAACACGCAAAACAATGCACAGCGACATCGTCCCCGCAGAAAACGAAAAAACAAGAGTGAGTGTAGTCTGCGAAGAGGGGGGCATATGCTGCCCCCCCCCCCCCCCCCCCCCCTCTCTCTTGCTTTTTCATTTACCACCCCCCTC